TGACCACTGAGCCACATCCCCAGTTTTTTTGTATTTTATTTAGAGGCACCACCACCACACCCGGCTTTTCATTCTTAATCTTGAAATAACTCTAGATGTTGAGAAATTTGCCAAAAATATACCCTCACCCATCTTCTTCAAACTTTAACCATGTTATCGTTAAGGGACCAAGAAATTAACACTGATGCAACTAACTGATCTTCAGAATTTTTTTTTTTTTTGAGGTTTTCAGAGGGGTTTCTAAGATCAACCTCAGGTATAGCAATGTTTGGAAAGAACTCAGGAACTATTATACTTGTGGTTTACTAGTGAAAGCATACAGCCCCGATTCCTGTTGGCAGTGGGTGTACACAGGGTGATGGCTTCAGGTTAGGTAGCCTGTAAAAGGTGCTTGGTGGAAGAGTATGGCGGAGGAAAGCAACTCAGGATAGAGCAGCGGGTAGTCTTGGTTGTTTATCCCCATGATTATGTGGCTGATTGGGAGCTGTGGCTAGCTATTATCTGTCCACATGTTGCTAGCCTTGGAAAAGATCAAAATTCAAATTTTGAAGTCTAGCTTATACTGAATGCATATTGCTTTGTCACAATCCTAAAATTAAAAATTTTAAGACAAAACTTTATAATTGGGGGATTATTTGTATTGTGTACCCATTAAAAGTTATTATAGTTACAATCATTTTTAATAGTTTTGCCTTTAAACCTTCAGACTATAACATAAGTGATTTGCATACCACCATAACAGAATTAGAACATTGCGAATTCGATTGTTTTCTTATTTTTACCAGTGAGTTTTCTATTTTCATGTTACTAACAAACAGTCTTGTCTTTGAGCTTGAAGTCCTTTTCTCACTTCTCGTAGGGCAGATCTAGTGGTGATGAACTCCTTCAGCTTCAGTTTCTCAGGGAAAGTCCTCCTCCTCCTCCTCCTCCTCCTCCTTTGGTATTGGAGATTGAATACTGGGATGCTTTACAACTGAGCTATATCCCCAGTGTCCGGGTTTTTAGCATCCCCCCTCCGTTCCCTCCTGACCTGTGGGAAGGATTGGGGGGAGCACGTCCCGACCAGGACAGGCCAAGAAAGGTAAAGGGCCGCCCGCACCCAGCCCTCCCTCCCCAAGGACAATCAAGCGGGCCAGGGAGAACTGTCAAAGTAGGATCTCGTTTAATAAGAAAACATACACAGCTAATATAATGTACAGGAGCCAATCAGGGTAAAGGTCAGCAGGGTGAGGAGAATTTATATCTTCAGGCAGTCATGGGAGACATGAGCTGTCCTTGAGGGCAGAAGGGTTCTGAGCCGATTCTTATCACAACCCAGGGCAATGCCTTCTGGCGAATCGCTAGGTGCTCTCTTAGCCACCTATGGCCCCAGGACTGGGAAGCGAGTAGCAGCCAGCAAGTTAAGTTTCCTCTTTTCTGATGCAACATGCCCCACGTTATATTATGCCCTACACCCCAGTTCTTTCAATTATTTTTAACTTTTGAGACAGGGTCTTGCTAAATTGTCCAGATTGGTCTTGTACTTGTGGTCCTTCTGCCTCAGCCTCCTGAGTGACTGGGATTACAGGTGAAGTGAGTCTCTTGCAAGCAGCATATAGTTAGGTCTTGTTTTTTAAATTCTATTCAGCTCTTCATTGTCTTTTTATTGCAGAATTAAACTCACTTACAAAGAGCCACCACACCTGGCTCTTGACTTCATTTCTGAAGGACAGTTCTACCAGGTGATGTATTCTTGGTTGGAAAATTTTCCTTCAGCACTTTGAATATATCATCCTGTTCTCTCCAATATAAGGGTCCTGCTGAGAAATCTGCTGATAGGTGTATTAGAGTTCTCTTCTATGTGATTGGTTTCTTTTCTTTAGCTGCTCTTAGGGTCCTGTCTTGTTTTTTCTTTTTTCTTTTTCTTTTAATTATAATATGTCTGGCTATCATCTTGTTTAGATTGAATCTTATTGGAGACCACTGAGATTCCTGTATTTGGATATTTATGTCTTTCCTCAAGTTTGAGAGTTTTTCTTTAAATCAATCTTGATTTTGTAATCTGTTTGAGTTGTGTTTCTGTCTTTTGTCACCAAATAGTCCCGACTGATACAGGTTCACTATTTGCCAGTCTTTGGATATCTTCTGAGGCCTTCAAATCTCCTTAGATTAACAGGATGACTTTATGACATCAGTTCATATTTCTGGCCAAAAGGTTTTTTTTCCCCCCATCTTTTCTTAGAGTATCTTTTATTCCTATTAGTGTTTTTAAAAAATCACATATTTTGAGTTAAATTAGCATCCATGTTATTTATTTACTTGCTTAAAACATTATGTCAAACATTGCCCTTTTTTATACGATGCACACCACGATAGGAATTCCATAGATTTTTGGTGACTTTAGCTCGTACCCTGCTGCATTAGGCAGAATGGGCTGGACCAGGCTGCAGGAATGAAGTGCCCCCCCCCCAAGATGAATTGCTAAACATAAGTTTATTTCTCCTTTATTCCACACCCACTTCTGTCCTGACTGACCAGGACAGCCGCCCTCTCTGTGGTGACCTGAGAGCCAGGCTGCTTTGATTTGAGGCTCTTCCATCGTAACTATAAGCCCTGCTTATGCCACAATGGGAAGAGAAGGAATTGAGGGTCCCTGGGGCTTCTCATTGCTCCAGCCCAGAGGCATCCTTGTCATGCTTTGATTCCATCAACCAGAAGTAGTCACAGGGTCTGAGTCAAGTTGTGGGAAAAATAATCCTTTTACTGCCCGGGAAGGAGAGGGGAACCAGGCAGGGAAGTCATGCCACGCCTCACTCTGGGCTCTCTGGGTTTGGGGTAGTGAATTAAAGCAGAAGATAAATTCTCAGTTGTTTTAAAACAACAGAAAAATGTTAGATGATAACATGGGGACCCTCAGAGACGGCATGAGAAGGTGTGGGGTAAAAACTCCCCCAAAAAATGAGGACAGGGAGAAGAGCACAGTGGGGTTCTTTTGTTTTGTTTTTGTTTTTTTGTTGTGGTGCTCAGGATCAAGCCCAGAGCCTCATGGGTGCCTGGCAAGCACTCCACCACCACCACGGAGCCACATCCCCAGCCTGGGCACCGCGTCTTGAAGTGGTCCAGCCACACTGAGGGGCGGGCTGTGTGTGTGGGTGCTGGATCAGCTTACAGACTGAGAGAAAAGAATGAGTGGAAACAGTGAGAACCTCTATTTTAGCAAGAAATAGATGGAGTACAACGAGTAGAGAAAAGGAAGGTGATAATCATTAACTTTTGTTGGGTACTAGCCGTGAACCTGGGGCTTGTAAATTCAGCCCTCTCCAAAACCCAGGAGGCAAATATATTGCAACCCCCACCTGACAGATGAAGGACTCAGAGTTATTAAGTAACGTGTTCAGAGGTCACTCAACTGGTGGGTGGTGGAGCTGGATCCTCTCATCTCCTCCCAGATGTCTGAAGTCCATTATCAGAGCCTGAAAGCTGGGCTCTCAGTCATACTTGCCACCTGTCAAGATATCCCTAAAGGGAAGGGAGGCAGGGAGCTCCTGCTGGGCTAGGTCTCAGGAACACAGAAGATGCCCGATATGTCTTCTGCCCTCCTGCCCCTTCCCTGAGCTCCCCAGAATGAGACAGGAATGTGGGCCCTTGTGTTTCAGGTGGCCACTGATTTTTCTATCATCTGTGAGCGGGACTAAAGTGGGTGGCCATCGGCTGTTCGTGGAGGAGGAAGGCCACTGGGCCTTAGCATGCTCTTAGAATGTTCTAGAAGAGCTGGGAACACTCTCATATGGGTGCTTTGTAAAACACCCTCCTGGATCCTCCCCCAGTGGGTGCTGCCTGGGTCGGAGAGTCAGGCAGACGCAGGCCCACCTAAAACAGGGGTAATGATAGTCTTGGAGATTACAAGAGCTAATCCATACAAGGTATTGAACAGGAACTGTGCATGGTCCCTGGCACACACACCGGACATTCAACCAGTGGAGCTCTTTATCACCCCTGTCACAGACGTGGAGAGTGGAGAACAGGGCCCCAAAATTGTCCAGGCTTTTGACAAAAAGTGATAGCCTCACCCTAATCCCCCCCCCCCCAGGACAACTGTGAGCTCAAAGCCAGCCTCAGCAAAAGTGAGGCCCTAAGCGACTCAGGGAGACCCTGTCTCCAAATAAAATACAAAGTAAAGCTGAGGATGTGGCTCAGTGGTTGAGTGCCCCTGAGTTCAATCCCCAGTAACAAAAAAATAAATAAAAATAAAAAGTAAATGGCAGAGCTGGGATCTAAATCCAGAAGAAAGATAAAAATTTTCTCAACCAAATCCAGGTCTGAGCCACAGAATTAGCCCCTGCTTCCTGTGGACCTTGGGGGACCATAGCTGAGCAGTCCACCCAGGATTTTAGCTATCCAGAATCACAAGAGGAGAATTCCTGCCTTTTCCGTTAAAGTTCTATTTTGAATATAGAATATTATACAATTAATGCTCCTTCTTTTGTCATATCCGAGTGCTGAATCCTCTCAGAATTTTGTATTAAAAAGGTTTATCTGAGGGGCTGGGGCTCGGGCTCAGTGGTAGAGTGCTCGCTTAGCATGTGCGAAGCCCTAGGTTTGATCCTCAGCACCACATAAAAATAAATAAATAAAATAAAGATATTGTGTCCACCTACAACTAAAGGTATTGTGTCCAACTACAACTAAATATACATATGAAGGTTTTTCTGACAAACTGGCATGATTGCTAACAACACTGTAGGGAAGAAAATAAAAATTTTCTCAACTATCAGGAGTTATTGATTTTATTCTTGCTGTGCTGGGGATCCAATCCAGGGCCTCAGGCATACTGGGCCTAATCTCTTTCCTTCCTTCCTCCTTCGTGTGTGTTTTGGGGGTTGGGTGGGGGCAGTTGTGTGGTGCTGGGATCAAACCCAACTCCTTACACACGCTAGGCAAGTGCTCTTCCACTGAGCTCCACCCCCAGCTAGCTGGTACTTGGAGTAGGCCCTTATAACAAAAGACAAATTAACAAGAAAGACCAAACAATTTACTAATGCATGCAGCTCATGTCAACTGGGAGAAACCACAACAAAAAGCACCACCTAAATATAAATAAAGTATATTGTGTTCATCTACAACTAAAAAAAATATTAAAAAGAAAATAAAAAGCAAATCAAAGTGGTGGCTTAGAACTCTGGTTTATATATCAACTTCAATAAAGAACAATATATTCATGGAGAAATAGCAGAGCAAAAGAAAGAGTTTTAGGGTTTTTTTGTTTTGTTTTTTGTTTTGGGTACTGAGGATTGAACCCAGGGGCTCTTAACCGATGAGCCACATCCCCAGCTCTTTTTTTATATTTTATTTAGAGAATTACTGAATTGCTTAGGGCCTCACTATGTTGCTGAGGCTGGCTTTGAACTTGGGATCCTCCTGCCTCAGCCTCCTGAGTTGCCGCCCTTAGTTTTTATGTGGACTCTCTGGCTGGTTCTAGGAACCAAATTAACCCAAGGCTGGTTGATTTAATTTTATTAAATTTACATGAGGATCTTTACAAGTGTGAAGTCCGAGAAATGATGAATGCATGATGCTTTTATACATTTTTTAGTCAAAGAACAATACATTTGTAAAGGAATAACGGGACAAGTGGGTTTCAGGATGAGGGTAGTGATTCCAGGCTGACACCAAGATATAAATGGGGACCCATAAGTCAGTGGAAGATGGCAGTTACTTCAACCAATGTGTTTATGCAGGTTCACAGAAACCCCAGCTACCAGGCTCTGCTGATTGAGGCCCTTTTCCTGCCTTGGTAGGGGAACCTTCATGGCTTTACATAGAAAAAGACAAGAATCCCTTTCTGAAGTTATAGTTGCTCAATTATTACAGTTTCCTATGCCAATTTGACATATTGAAATGACAGGTCTTTGACTCCTTCAATAGGAAGTGTGTAGGTGTTGACATTTTATTTTTATTTTTTATTTTTTTGTACCAGAGATTGAACCCAGGGGCACTCTTAACCACTGAGCCACATCCTAACACCTTTTAACTTTTGTTTTGAGACAGGGTCTTTCTAAGTGGCTTAGGGCTTTGGTAAGTTGCTGAGGCTGGCCTTGAACTCATGATCCTCCTGCCTCAGCCTCCGGAGTCACTAGGATTACAGGTCAGGTGTGCACTACCACATCCAGCAATGTTGACATTTTACATGGGGCCTTGTTTAGAAAGAAGCATCCAAAACAAAACAAAACAAAACAAAAAACCCCAAAAAAACCCCCAAAACAAAAAAACCTGAAGAAAATAAGGGAGTGGACCCGGTGGCTCCCAAGGGGAAGGATCTTCCCGGCCCAGGAAAAGACACAGAGGTGGGGTGCACCTGGAGAGTGTGGGGAGGCCAGGGCAGCCAGAGCTACGTGAGTGAGGGGGAGAATGGGGGAAGAAGGTCAGAGGTTAAGAAGGAGCCTGACACATAGGACCCTTGAGATTGCAGGAAGGACTGGATCCTGATGGTCAGCTCTGTGCATAGTGGTAAGATCTGCCTAAAATTGAACAGGGTCATTTTGGCTGCTCTGTTGAGAACAGGCAGTAGAGGCAAAGGCTGTAGCAGGGAGAGCCATAATCCAGGTGAAGGACAGGCACTTTCTCTCCACTGTGCCCAGCGTGCCCCTAGTATGCTTCCTGGCACGGAATGGGCATTCAACAAATATTTACTGCATTAGTGATGTCCAAGTTCCAGCTCTCAGACTGGTGCCCGGGGCCTAAATGAAAAGGTCTAGAAAAAGAGAACCCAGCTGGGCGCCGTGGAATTCGCTATGCCTCTTGTGATCAGAAAAGCGTAAGCTTTCCCAGAAGCTCCTGTAGACTTCCATTTAAATGCCATTAGCCATACTCGGTCACAGCGTCACCCCAAACTGCAAAGAAGACTAGAACAGTGAGAATCTGGAATTATAGCCTCCTTGGTGGAAGGCGATAGAGAGACGGAGTTGGGACTGACCAGTGGGGAGTACACCGAGGGTGTCTGCTGGGGCTCTCCTGAATGACACGGTGCTTGAGGATCCTTCTGTTTCGGGGCTTCCTCTTCCAGAAGCACCTCTAGGCACCACCGGGTGGAACCTCGGGCGCTCCCTTGGGTGGTCCTACTCAATCTGGAACACTCTATCTTGCTTCTCGTTTGCATGTTTGAATGGCATGCTGACCCCTGAAGGTGACTTCTTCCGGGAACTGGTGGCCTTTGTGTAGGAATCATGCATCTTCAGTCTCACCCAGCAGACACTTAGCATAACTTTGCCACATTCTTATCAGGACAGTCACGCTCAGGGACATTTTTAAAGCTTGGCTGATGCACCTGCGCGCACACACAGGTGGCGTACCTATCCTTACACCCTATGCCGGCCCACCCACAGGAGAAGGACGGCATCTCAGTCACCCTCAAGCCACCCAGTTAGGGTTAAGACCAGGATGGGGGATGGTGGGTGGGAACTGGAAAGACAGTGGAGTGAATGGGACTGAACTTTCCATGTTCCTCTATGAACACACGACCAGGGAAACACCACATCGCGTCCAACCACAAGAATGGGAAGCTAGACTCCATGTATGTGTGGTAGGTCAGAATGCACTCTGGTGTCATGTGTGACTTAAAAGAAACCCGACCAGGATAAACCCTTTCCTCCCGAAGGTCCACCTTGGCTTCAAGCTGTCAGAGGGTGGCCCAAGGGCAGCTCTTGTGGAGCCAGAGGGTTTATTTTCTAACCCATCTCTGTCACCTCCAATGAAGGGCTTAGAAAGCCCGAGGCAGGGATTTTATTCTTCAAGGGAAAACAAACAAGCCTGGTTTGTTCTCCAAGTCTTTAAAACTTCAATGGAAAAAAAGGTTAGAATATCTGGGTCTCATCCAGGAAGGGATCCTCGGGGAAGGAGAGTGGGGGAACTTCCTGGAGGGGCTGCAGGTGGGGGAGGTCTCTTCACATGACAGCCTGGAAAGGGTGGCTGAGGAGGCCAGGCCACAGATGTGGCAGTGGGGTCTTGAAGCTACCTTTTGTACCTTGAGGAGCCTGGGGGAGATCTCGGTATGTTTGCTTTCCCCATTGTTGTAGAGAAGGTAACATTGTTGGTTTTTTTTTTTTTTTTTTTGGTGAGAATTGCGCAATGGTGTGGTCAAAAGGGTAAGGAACACACAGTTGGCAATAATACGCAGCTCTGGTGTACAAAGCAGTCACTGTGACGAACAGAATTTGTGAAACCAAAGTCTTCCCGGGCCAGGAGTCCCTGCAGGTGGGCTGGATAAGGAACCAAGAGTCCTTGGGCTGCAGAGGTGGCCTTGGGAACCCCCAGGGCAGAGGTTCATGGGAGTTGAATGGTGTTTCTGATCTGAACCACTGAGCACCTCCCTGCACCCTCCAGTTTTGCTCAGGGTGGTCCTCAAACCAGCAGTCTCAGCCTCAACGGGAGCTTGTTACCCATGTAGAATCTAAGCCCCTGCCCAGATCTATGGAGTCGGAAACTGTTTTTTAAAATTTTTTTGGTGGGGTGGGTATTGGGAATTGAACCCAGGGGTATTTAACCACTGAGCCACATCCTCAGCCCTTTTTATTTTTTATTTTGAGACAGGGTCTCACTGGGTTGCTCAGGGCCTTGCTAAGCTGCTAAGGCTGGCAATCCTCCTGCCTCAGCCTCCAGAGCCTCTGGGATCACAGGCATGTGCCACTGCACCCAGTCCCAGCAGCTGTGTTTAAAGGAGATCCCCAGTGATTAGTATGCACAGTAAATTTTGCGAAGCGCTTTTCTAAACTGGGACCGGGAATGCTGTATCCCTGCCAGGTGTGGTTCCAAGGCCCAGGTAGGGTGGGCCGTGGAGGAGGAACAAGCAGGGCATGGGTCAGAGCCTGCAAACCCTAAAAGGCTGTCTGGGTTAGTACCCTTCCCCCCCTCACCATCTGACCTCCTGGGGACCTCGCTCATTGTGGACAGATTAGCCTTTCTCTGCTCAGTGGCTTCCAAAGCAGGCGTTCCCCAGGCTAAGCTCTGCTTATCGGCTCCTCACCTGACCTCAGGTAAAACCGCAGCCAGAATTTTCTGGGCCTAGGAGCTGGGCTGCTCTGAGAGGCAGGGCCCCATGGGGCCCTGGAGTCTCCCGGTGGACAGTCCTGGGCAGAATGGAGGACTTGGCAGGACACAGAGGGGACCTGTCCTTCTTTTCCAATTCTGCCAGGGTAGTTTCCTGGGCAGGGCTCAGGATCAGGGAGGGGTCCCTTGGAGAAGGTTTTCCTGGCAGTGAATTCCTCTTGGGGCAGGAGACATGGACGCTCGGAAGGAAGAGTGTGGGAGCTCGGGGTCCCCAGCTTCCCAGGGTGAGCCAGGCCCCCTGGGGGGACACATTTCTACGGGAGCAGGTGTGAACACCGAGGACAGCCCAGGGCAGCCAGGTGCAGGGGGCTGGAGGAGCCTGGGCCAGGGAGCGCAGGGCGGGCCGTGCCCAGCGGCCACTCTACAGCGCCCTCTCCTCACTGCCCAGCGTGGCGATTCTCCGCAGGTTTTCCCGGACTTTGATAAACTCAGGGGCATGTTCCTCTTCCTTTTCTGGTGGTTTTTCCAGCTGAAGGAGACAGAAGTGGTGGTATGAAGTGGGCGGGGGCCAGGAAGACTCCTGTTCTCAACAGCCACGGGGGTGGGGGGTTTGGGCCAAAGGTCCTCCCCACAGAAACAACCTGGGGATCGGTTTTGCCACCAGCCTGGTGGACCACGGGGACAGCATGAGATTTATTTTGCCTTACAAAGGCGGATTCAGATCCCTGGCCTCTGGGCCTCCTTCAAATTGGTAATGTCACCTGGCTCAGAGGGCAAGTTATGATCATCAGAGCTAGCCTGCAGTGTACTGGGCTGGCACAGAAGCCGGGGTTCAGAAAGGGAAGCCATTTACCCAAAGTCACACAGCAGGGTGGCAGAGTGAAGGCTCAGGCCAGTGCCAGATTTTTCATCCAAAGTCCTTTCTGCTGACCTTCCTCCCAGGCCCAGGAGACAGCCCTGAAGGAGGCGGGGGCCAGGACTGGGTACCCCCTACCCACCTGGTTCAGCCTCTGCTGCCGTCTCAGCAGCTCCTGCTCAAAGGGGCACTGAAGCCGCTTGGCCTCCAGCTCCTCCTTCTTCTTCTTGATGAGCTGGTTGCGGCGGCGATGCTCCAGGACACGCTGCAGCTCTGGCTTACTGTCCACGCCCAGGCCCCTGGGGTGGGGGGAGCCGTTAGGAGACCCCCTCTCCTTCCCACCTCCCCCAGTCTCAGGGCTACACCTCAGTGACACCCATCTCACCACCCTCCCTCTGACGGCACAGCCCAGATTTTGGGTTCTTTCTTGATCTTTTTTTAGGATGATTTTCTTTTCTTTCTTTTTTTTTTAATATTTACTTTTTAATTATAGGTGGACACGATATCTTTATTTTATTTTGATGTGGTGCTGAGGATTGAACCCAGTGCCTCATGCATGCTAGGCGAGTGCTCTACCACTGAGCCCCAGCCCTAGTCCCTAGGACGAGTTTCTAAAGGTAGAATTGTTGGGTCAGGCTTAAAAGAGGGTGGGTACATATTTCCATTTGCCTCTAGAAAAGTTACCCAGTGTCTGCTTCCATCAGCAGTGTCCAAGGGCATCTCTTTCTCCCCACCATCACCAGCCAATCTTTCTATTTGAGAATCTGATAGGCACAAAATAATATCTGGTTTCCTTTGTTTCCTTGATTATTAGTTATAGGGAACAGCTTTTGATACATCTACCAGCCAGCAGTTCTCTTTTTGTGAATTCACTGAGCCTATTTTTGTTCATCTTTTCCTTGTGGATGAAGAGATGGAAGATATTAATATTCTTCTGTAGATACAGCTTCCCCCCCTCCAATATAATGTATTTATATTATGAATATTTCTCCTGGCTTGTTTTTATGCCATTTCTGATTGTGTTGATGTTTGTCGACATGATTATGGGCTGCAGGTGTAGCTCAGTGCGACAGCGCTTGCCCAGCATGTATTGAGGGAGGCACTGGGTTTGATTCTCAGCACTGCATATAAATAAATAAATAAAGTTCCATCAACAACAGAAAAAAAAAATTAAAAAAATAAAAGGAATGGGAATGATCATCCTAAAAGGCAATCATAGAAAATTCTCCTGTTACAACAATAAGCAAAACCAAAACCAGCCCCATGTACAAAAGAAAATCTGCTAGAGTGTGGGGTTCACATACCTGAAACCCAGAATGGCCATCATGACCGGCTGTAAAACCAGATCTGGCCAGGAGGGGGAGCTATGAAGGCACTCTTGCCTCCCTTCTGGACCCGTGGGCAGGGAGGGGTTTCCCAGGCCTCAGAGGGGAGCCTCAGTCTCCCTCCCCCTCGTGATTGTTGAGTGTCTCCCAGTGCAGTTATCTTGGACCCTTTCTCTTCTAGAGTCCCAGACCCTCTTCCCCTGCTGGGCACCCATCCTACCACCTGGTTACATGTCTATCCCCCTCTGTGAGAGCAGGAAATTCCTTCTTGTACCCTGGGTCTGGGTACAGTGCCTGGCACACAGTGTGCTCTCAGCAAATAGATCTGAAGTGTTGGCATGAAGTGGGTGCCTGGGAGGGAGAATAGGGCTTTATTTCTCTTTTTTTTTTTTTTTGTACTAGGAATTGAACCCAGGGGCACTTAACAAGTAACCCACATCCCCAGCCCTTTTATATATATATTTTGTAGAGACAGGGTCTCAAATAAGTTGCTCAGGGCCTTGCTAAGATGCTGAGGCTGGCTTTGAACTTGCGATCCTCCTGCCTCAGCCTCCCAAGCTGCTGGGATTATAGGTGTGCCACATCTCAACCGGCTAGAATGGGGGCTTTTCAGGGCCCTCTGCCTCTTAGGGGCCCACAGAGGATCAGACCTTCAGAGTCTCTGCTGGGTGATCACGTGAGGCACCCTCAGCCCCCCTCAGCCTCCAGGAGCCCCAGGATAGTGGCCATGCCTGCTTTCCATGAGCGGCCGCCCCAGCCCCAGCAGGCTTGCTTGGGGAGGGGCTTGCTTGCTGGGCCCCGGGCAACCAGCTCCATCCCTACCTTCTGTGGTTCATGAGCAGCTCACGGTGCAGCTCCTGGTGGCTCCGGGAGGCCTTCACGGGGTTCAACAGCTTTTTGGGCTTGATGAGCTCTGGGTTCCACTCTCTGTACTCTGGCCGGGCCATTAGGCCCCCAATGTCTGCCCGCTCCCTCTGGATCTCTGAGTACATTGAGGCTGCGGAGATGGACAAAGGAATTGATCAGAGCCGGGTTCATGACCCCACCTGTCCCCGCGGGGCATGGGTTCTCAGGTGGATCTTGGACACTTACTACTGTGACACCCTGACCAGGATACTTGACTTTCTTGTTTTGGTAACAGGAATTGAACCCAGGGGCTGTTAACCACTGAGCCACATCCCTAGCTATTGGGAGCCGCTCTGGACACGAGCTAGGTACACACCTTTAAGTCCTGAGTAAAGGGGTACCAAGCAGTTATTGCGCCCCACAATGAATTGCACTTTTATCCCCGCTCAGATAATGAGGCGTGGCTCCAGGAGTGCGCGTCACCTGGTGGGGTTGACCTACACTCACCTGTTCCTTTGTAATCCCACCCCTTTGCCCTTTTGGGGATAGAATGTTCCATGGAAACTCCTCTTGTGTGTCCTCTATATAAGAATAAAGAATTCCAATGGCTCACTCTCTTTCATGGACTCCTAAAGTCACAGAGCCATCCCCAGATTTTGAAAAGGTACTTCTGTGTGTTTGGGTGCTTTCTTCACCGTTTTCTTAAGTTATTGGAATAGTCAGATTTGTGAACCCAGCATTAGGTTGCCAGCTCAGATGGATGGCGATACCCAGCCCTTTTTAATATTTTATTTAGAGATGGGGTCTCACTGAGTTGCTTAGGGCCTCACTAAGTTGCTAAGGCTGGGTTTGAACTTTTGATTCTCCTGCCTCAGCCTCCTGAGCTGCTGGGATTGCAAGTGTGTGTGTGCGGTGACTGGATTTCTCTCCCTTTGATGCCTATTTCCATTCCCAAGTTCCACTGATTCTCTAACGGAATAGTTTTCAGCTACACTCTTTCTTCCCCATATCCTCAGCTCTCAACATTGGCAAACTACACTTTAATAGCCACCGTGACTCCCGGGCTGTTCACCCTCCCCTTAGTCCCTCCATGCCCCAGCTACATACTTCCCTAGTTCTGCCATCTTTAAAAGAACTAACTGTATGTTGCCAACGTGATAAAGCAGGAAACAGAAATAAACAGTCCAACTTTAGAGAAGGAGATGGCAGGATGAACATTTGAAAAAAACAAAACAAAATAATACTTTCGTACCCAGCAAGCATTGGGAGAAGGAATTCAGTCCTGTGGCCAGATATGAAATGAGGACACAAAACCAAGAATGTCTCCATAACAGAATGACCACGGAGAAAGTATGTGATCATTAAAAAGTCATGCATTCCCTAAATGTTTGAGTTCCTATAATCTGCTGGGTGCTGTGGCAGACACTGGACATGCAGAGGGACACTGAATGACATGGTCCCCAATCTCACAGAGCTGACACGGGGTGGGGGCGAGACAGACAGTAAACAGCACACACGTGCAAACCAATGAAAACAGTTATAGATGTGGCAACAGGCGGGCTCCGTAGAGTTTGCTGAAGGACCCATCTCCAGCCAGGTGCAGCGGGAGGGCCTCTCTGGAGAGGTGACATTTGAAATCTGACAGCTGAGATGGAAAGAGGGGGCTGCTTGGGGCCTGGGAAATAGCACTTGTGACTCATGCACCTTGAACAAGCCGGCCTGTTTAGAGAGCACAAAGACACAGTGTGCCCGGGGTGGGGAGAGTGAGCGGCAGAATGTTCAGAGAGAGGGTGGCCGGGTGGGTTCAAGTCTGGGAGAAATCGTGCTTCTGATTCCATTTTTAAAAGGTCATTCTGGTGGAGAAAACTGTCAGCAGGTTTTGGGGATTTTTTTTTTTTTTTATGACTTTGATTTTCTTCATTTCCAGTGGGCGGTCTCTGTCTGTCCATCTCTCCCATTAGATTCCAGAGGAAAATCCTCTGACTGGCCATAGGTCACCAGTAGCCAGTGGGTTGACCGCTACAGAGTCAGGCCTCACCCTGGCAGGAAGGCTCAGAGTAAGAGTTCAAAGCCAGCCTCAGCAACTTAGCAAGGCCCTAAGAACCTTAGTGAGACCCTGTCTCTGAATAAAATATCAAAAGGGCTGGGATGTGGCTCAGTGGTTAAGTGCCCCTGGGTTCAATCCCCGGTACCAAAAAAAAGAGGGACCTTGTTTGTTTAACCTGCTGCTGCTGCCTAATACATCTTGGACAATGGCCCTGAATTTTTATTTGGCACCGGGATCTGAAAATGATGGAATCAGTCCTACTCCCAGGGTCCAATCAGTGGCCATGCCTGGCTCAAGGATCTGCTCCAAGCCCTCTCCCCTCTTCAAATAAAATCACCAGTGTGGTAGGTGAGGCAGGGATGTGCCTGGTTCTTTAGCCCAGAGTTGCAGCTGGAAAAATCTGCCTTTGCCTCTCAAGATGCTGAATTAGGTAAACAGCATGGGGTGGGAGTGGGGGGTGATGACAGGGAGAGCTGTGTACACATGCATGTCAGGGGTCGGAAGGGAAGTGCTAGGAACCCCTAGGGCTTAAGAATTGCAGCACCAGCCTTCCTTTTAATTTAATTAAATGAGACTTCTATATAAAGATCTGTCACAACACAGGCTTTTTTTTTTGGTGCCAAGGATTGAACCCAGGGGTACTTAATCACTGAGGCCACATCCCCAGCCCTTTCTATATTTTATTTAGGGACAGGATCTCACTAAGGTGCTTAGGAGCTTGCTAAGTTGCTGAGGCTGGCTTTGAACTCACAATTCTCCTGCCTCAGCCTCCCCAGCTGCTGGGATTGCAGGCGTGTGCCACCATACCTGGTGGCTTTTGAGAGTTTTATAAGTTCCCAGGTGATTCCGATAGCCAGCCATCTTTGCAAATCATGGAGTTAGACAAGGAAATCAAAGCAACCAAGCTTATCTGCATTGGCCTGGAGTCCTTGGGAGCAGGTCTGATAAGAGCACAGTTCTCAGCCGGGGTATGATCTTGGGCAACTCTAACCTCTCGGGGACTCTTTTCGGTAGAATCATGCTGGTTGTACACTGCTGAGCTCAAGGACTGGGCAAGGGAGCCAGGAGGTGACAACTAAATGGAGTGAATTGCATGACTATAAAATGGGCAAATAATTCTCACTTAATATGCAGAGTGTGCGGCTGATTTCATCTTTCTTGCAAGGGTGGGTGTAATAAGAGGTTGGAGAAGAGACCCAGGGCTCTGCTGATGACCCAAGAGGTCCTGTCGCTCCCTGCTTGAGGCTCTGCAGAACATCAGCCCCATACCAGGCAAGGCTCATCTGGGATCCCTGACTGCAGGGTGAGCTCATCAGGTTGCTAGGTGGGCAAGTTAATATGAGGGTGACAGCTTTGAAGCCAACATGGGTGCCTCCTGGGCGCCCGTAAAGAGAGGACAGAAAGGGGGCTATACTGATGGGATTCCAGGTCCCAGTTCATCCTGCAAATAGCGGTGAGACCCCAGGCTCTCTAAGGTCTTCTTAATGTCCCCTCTATCTGCCTCTCCCCTCCCTGATGGTTCTGTTATATCTTTGATGGCATCAGTTATAACAAATGACATATAAACCAGTAAATCAAGATGCTTAAAGCAGATGTTTCAGAAAAGACAGACCAGGTTTGAATCATGGTGGCCTTCTTTCCTAGCTGAGTGATCCCAGGCAAATAGCTTGACCTCTCTGGGCCTTTATACAGTAGGGATAATGGCAATACCTACTCACGGGGTCATTTGGAAGGTGAAATGATATAACGTGCATGTTGTGCTCAGCCCAGGGCTGTCCTGAAGGGGCTTTGTGATGAGCCCTGCCTGGGCATTTGGTTTGGTTCTCATAATCAGCCTGGGAAGCAGCTGCTATTCTAGGTGAGGAAATCAAGGCCCAGTGAGGCCAAGATATGGAGCAAATAAGTGGCAGAGGCAGGATCTTTGGACTCCAAATTCAGTGCTCTTCTACGGTGTCTCTGTCTTCCAGGTGCAAAAGGTTTTTCAGTTGAGAAATCGGGGTTAGGCGTAGCCTAAGAAACGCCAATGCAGAAGTAGCAGGAGCCCATTTTATAGATGCCAACGGGAGGACTGTTAACCCACATGAAATACAAGCATTTGCTGAGGCGCCTGGCTGGCCCCGGCAGCTTTTGGCTTAGACAGAACCCACAGGCCTGGCTGTCCATGGCTGGCCTCTGTTAAGGAGATGACCAGATGGTGGCCTTCCCTCCTTGGGCTGCTGGCCAGTCTCCCTCCCTCCCGCCCCACGCTCAGGGCTGTCCTGGCTCAGCATCTAACAGGGCGGCAGGACAGAGGAGAAGAGAGGCTTGTAAAATAGCGGCCAGCAAGGGAAAAAGGGGCCTTCAGTCCCAGTGGCAAGCGTGGCCACTGGATTTCCTGAGCCTTCTCGCCTTTTCCCCCTCCACGGGCCAAGTGCCCATTTGTGTTTTCCATCGGCCGGCCACTGAAGCCCAGTGTATCTGGAGGCACCTCCACATTTCCTAGCAGCCTCTGGCTGATGCCCAGAAGCCCCTGGACCCCTTCAGGATTTCTTGTCCATTTGGATGCAATGACCCAAGACAGACTCAATACAGAACTTCCCTTGGCCTCGGTCCATTCTAACTTCCTGATTTGTGAGGAGGTGGTCTGGGTGGACATTGGAATCCATTTCATAGCAGAGTCCCGGGCTGGACCCGGAGGGTTCTTAGGAAGAGTTGTGCAATGTGTTATAAGGTTAAGCAGGGATCAGGCCACCAGCAGACCAGGTGTCCTGCTGGTTCCCCAGTGGCAGGAGGCTGGCCATTCCACCTGGCAGGTACTTTGCATCCACAGAGCTAAGAGAGCCACCCAAGATCTAAGTCCCATGCTGGGCACAGTGGTGCATGACTGTCATCCCAGCGGCTCAGGAGGCTGAGGCAGGAGGATCACAAGTTCAAAGCCAGCCTTAGCAAAAGTGAGGCACTAAGCAAATCGGTGAGACCCTGTCTCTAAATAAAATACAAAATAGGGCTGGGGATGGGGCTCAGTGGTCGAGTGCCTCTGAGTTCAATCCCCTGTACCAAAAAACAAAACAAAACAAAACAACCAAAAATGGAAGCTACCTAGAGACAAGGGTGCTGGGGCTGCCTCCAGGTCAGAAGCCATGAGGTTTGATAGCAGTTTCAAACAGGGACATACATACAATCGTCTAGCACCCGATTTCTGGCTCAGTCTCAGAAACATGTTACAGCCAAATTCACCAGGAAGGTAGGCTGGTACCATGCAAGTGACCTCACCGAGGTGCCATCCCCCGGGGGGCTGAGCACCTAGTAGCTGGGTCTCATGAAATTCTCCTGACCGACGGAGGAGGTGGGGGATATCACTGCCGCCTTTGAGACCAAGACACTGAAGCTCAGAGAGGTTATCTGATTTCCCAGCTGACGCAGCCAGTGAATGAAGGTGACAGAATCCCAGCAATCTGAGTTGTCCGATGCCCAAACCTGTCTTCTCTCAGCTGTGACATCCAGCTGTTAAGCAAATCCACAGGCCGGTCCCCCACCCCATTCCCGGGGCTGTGTGATCCCAGATTTAGGTGAGGTCATTCCCATGCATGAATTCAGATTCCCCCCAAGTACTGAGAAGCCAAAGATCATCAGGAACATAGCCCTGTCTGGATGCCTGCTTTGCCTCCTTTCCCCAAACCTAGAGTGTCAGGAGGCACAGTCCCCGCGACCCCATAGCATTTCACCGATTTGGGGACAGAGCCCAGGTCCGGGGGACACCCGCTCCAGGGCTCCCCAGCCGCGCCCTCACCTCCTCCCTCCCAGGAGGGCACCCAGCCGGACCGCCGCGGGGGACTGACCAGGAGAGACGTGGTCTTACTTCTTGCTCGGGGTCCCGGAGAAGGCAGATCGCGAGCGCTGTCGCCAGGTCCCACGCTCCACCGGGAAGTCCCTGAGCGGGAGGAGGGCCGCCTCCCAAGGGCGGTTCTTAACCCCGAGGCTGCGCGCGGGGCGACCCGACCCGGGAGGCCCCTCCGCATTCCTGTTTATTCTGGTATCAATAAAAAGGAACCGTTGCTATAGTAACCG